CAAGTGAAAAGTAAGCATTCATCGTATAGGAACCCCTTTTTGTCAAACCACCTGCGAAAAGCCAGTTATGATTTTTCCATTTCAGAGCACATATTTCGTAACCGGTCCTCAGTTAAAATGCATCAATATTAATTGATCGGATTACCGGAACATGGGGGTGTGCGATAGACTTACCTCCACGTGGTGCACCCTGGGCAACGTATACTCATACGGCAAAAAAGTCTATTAACTGGCAGTTAACTTCTGACTTTAAACTACCCTCACCCCATTGTATGTTATATGCGACTACTTCCACAGTACTCACCTCAACTTTTTTCTACCTTCGTCTTTGAAGCACTCTTCTGTCCCCCCCCCCTCGACATTTTTTCCACTTTGATGTTCCTTCCCCTCTGTGAAGCCTGAAGTCAACTAAAGGGCTAATGATAACTATCAGAACGCCTGCCATTTGACATAAATAAATAAATTTCCGGAGCCACTGAATTTTGGCTGCATATGGTCTTCTGAGCGGCGCAGTGAATAAATACTAGGCTCAAACTCCATGAGCCAATTCCTCCCCCACCACCACCATCACCACCACCACCGATTCCTTCCAAAAATTGAGACATTAAAACTCTATATTCGAAAGTCCTATCTCAATAGCATAGTGTAAACTGCCTTCACCAATAGATGGTAAATTTTATAACAAATACTCGGCTTCGTACTTAAATAATAATTTAAAATGAACATTTTTTATTTTCTTAATTATTTCTCATCATCCCCAGCGAACTTGACCCTAAGACCCTCAGCTATAATTTTGTAAAGTCCTAAAGTTGCATTCCGATTTAAATTAGAGCCAACCTATTTAACGGCCTACCTCAAGTTTCAAATTAATTAGAGCAAATAAGGCTCTGATTATAAGACGTGACAACGAATGATTAATAACAGACGTGACCAGGCAAAATCAAAAGTGCCTCAATTTTAGCAGACATGGTTCGTGACTCCGGTGAGTTCGAGGGTTTAAGGTAAACATTGCCCCCCCCCCAGTTTGACAGTTTCTAATGCCCCACCCCATGATCACAAACGCAATTAGAGACAGACGAGCTCTCGACTTAGATCCAAGTCCGAGAGAAATCAACACTTCGGCGAATAGAGTGACTTACTTATCGTTTAATTAGGCCCTTAGACTTACCTGCGAGAATGTTCAAATCGAAATAATCCCCACCCCCCTCCCCACCCCATATTTTGAAGTCTTTAAACAGGAACGTATGAACTAACCTTATCTAGCTTAAGTTGTGCGCACAATCCGATGAATTTCATTCCATTTGTCATTAATATTACTGTTGCTGAGTTTATGGTTTCCAAAGTCAAGTTAGCAGCATGCACTATCTCATCCGACCAATCACCGGCGCGATTGGGTATTAAGTTCACCCAATGAGCACAAGTGCACCAATGACGAGCTATACCAGCTTCACTGCAAGTCCGATGCCAGGGTATGGGTGCGAGAAGACTGTGGCCTCGGGTGTTTGGTTGCTCGGAGCGGGTGAGGATATGCTTCAAGGTGGCGTGAAGATCAAAGGGAGAGCAAAGACGGTCGGTATTGGATTGAAGAGTGGACACGGCTTCCGGCCATTCTTGAGCGAGTTTTCGAGGGAAGAGTATGCCCAACATTGGCAAGCGTTCTTCTAATTTGCCCTAGAAATATCGGACACATTAAGAAAATTCGAAATTGCCAACCTACTTAATGCTGTCAGTAAAGACCATTTACCTGAAGTGATAACCTAGCTTTGCCAATCCGAGATCCATGATCTGAAAAGAGAACCACAACCGTATTTGCCAAGGCACCCCAACCACGTTCATCCTCCTTATCAATTTCTTCTAGGAGGTTCGCCACATCTTCATCCACGTACCTTGCCGCTGATGGCTCCTCATGAATCATCTCCGAGAGGAAGGTAAGCGAGAAACGTGGAAGGTGCTTATTGGCGTACATGAACTCACGGAAAGACTCCAATAGAACCAAGTGGGTTGGCCTGAAATGAGTAAAAGTAGTATTATGAACACTGAAATAAAATGAGCACCATTTTAATCATTTTTGATCTCATGCTTCAGGGATTTCAACCTCGTGTAGACTTATACAGAGGGTTGAAGATAATGTTACAACTGAAAAATGTACATTATTAGCAGATACACCAGTAATTTGGTGACTGCGAATATTCACCCTTCCAATTTGTGTAGCAAGTACAACCGACTCTGAACGTCTCTAGCACCTTCAATCTGCTCAACTAACTAGAGATCATACTTCTGACGGGATCGTTAACCATAGGGTGAACCTCTTCTTCAATGAGACGGTGGACCCAGAAGTAACACCTATCTGCCTACCCTTTTCCCATAACCCAGATGCCACCGAGTCTGCAACATATATAAGATTCCCAAATCGTTCAAAATCGCCCACGATGATCTCAAACACATCGTCTTGAAACGCTTTGAGAAGCGAGAATTTCTTGCCTTCCAAAGAGTGGAAAATTCGCCTTCTAAAAGGATCACTGTACTTAGATCAATTCATAACCGGAGATCATTGTCGTCCTAGCGGACCTGAGGAGTGGGAGAAGGAGGTGGGAGGGGTTCTCTCAAACTTTGCTCAAAAATAATTTTACGTAGAAACTAGTTTAACGCAATTTGATACAAAAGCATAATTTCTACGTTTATACATTTAATTAATATTTTTACTATCGTTGTTGTCGCACAATGTTTATTTATATCAAGTGACAGGCTTTATGATATTTATCATCATCTCTTTAGGTGACTTCGGGATTCACAGAGGGGAAGATCAGACAATGTCACAAAAGTCGAGAAGAGAGTGATTCACATATGTAAAAGGGAGACAGACATAAAGGTTTGGAAAAAGGTAAGTTGAGCACTGTGGAAGTGGTAGAATATGTCATACGGTTTTGTCATGGTAGTTTGAAGTCAACTGCCGGTTTATAGACTTGTTTGCCGCATGAGTATACGTTCCCCAGAGTGTATCACGTGGAGGTAAGTCTGTCCTTCAACATTCAATTAGCCATGTAACCACAAAAATATTGTCTATGCACAAGAAGATTTGACGATATCCATTATTCATCTCTTCACATCTTCCTTCATCCGTTCTCCAAACTCTTCATGTTTAATCATTGTGGTTGAGTGCATGCTGCTTCATTCTAGATCTATTTATTTATACCAAATGGCAGGTCTTTTGGTATTTATCATTAGCCCTTTAGCTGACTGCAAGCTTCCCAGAGGAGAAGGAACATCAAAGTGAAAGAAATTCGAGAGTGAGGGGGGGAGCAGAAGAGAGATTCAAAGATGTAAAAGAGACAGACACAAAGGTAGAACAAAGGTGAGGTGAGTAATGTGGAAGAAGTCGAATATGATATACAGTAGGGTGATGGTAATTTGAAGTTAGAAGTCAACTGCCAGTTAATAGACTTTTTTGTCTTATGAATAAACGTTGCCCAGGGTGCACCACTTGGAGGTAAGTCTATCGCACCCCCCCCCCTCCCTCATTCTAGATCTAATATGCTCAAACCATGGAAATTGGCTACCTCCTCAAACAGCATACTCATTCAACGAATTACTTGTACTAACTTAAATTCAATGATGAAGTGCACTTTATCTCTCATTATATGATGACATGAAAGGTAGAATAAATTGAAAAAGGAATTTTTGGAAAAAAAACAGATATTTTAGGGAAATTAGGTGACTGGATTTATCAGGAACTAGGCCGTTTAAGTTCAGAGATTATGTAATAAAATTATAAAGTCCCCGAAATACTGAAGTAAGGAAGGCACGTCTTACTCACAAAGACTGGTCGTGTCAAAGAACTGAATACACCATCGATAAAATGATCCATGCAATAACAATTGCATCAGAATCTGCGTATATCATTGAGAGGATATTAATTAGGGCGTTGTCACATGTGCTCATATTACCAACCTCGAGAGACCTTAAGACCCACTCAATAAAAGCTGCCAATCTTTGAAGATGAAAACTTTTCAGTCTTTGAAATTTGGTTGCCCACGACAATTTAAACAAAAAATTAGCCTTTCATTTCTTTCCTAATAAACTCTTATCTCTAGTTGAATATGCATAGACTATCATTCAAAACGCATTATCTGAATATGTCACAAACGCTCATTTTTTGTTCCTCCCAATCCTTCGTTCTCTACTCAACCCACAACTCGGCTCATTTACATCTAACCCAAATGCTTCAACTGTGCATGCTACCCGATACGCTCCATGTTTCTTTTGAATTCAGTTTTGCAAATATTCAAAAAATATTGTGACTTTACGCCATTCTAATCGACACTTATAACTCACTCGTGTCACGATTAAGTCACCTCAAATAGGAAGCTTTGTATTTCATAGAGTTTTAGTATACGTTACCAGGCCATTAGGTTGAGCGACGGGGTCTTAAGATGCGACTTCTCAGATGGGCATGTCCCTGATACTTGACAGTTATGTAAATATATAGCTCTGTCACCTCCTGAGCTCTCGGAAGGGAAACTTTCAAGCGTGTTTTCCGCATTCCTCCTGAAAACGTCTCTCGTCACTCTCGTAACTTCTCAGCACATCGCTGATGACCATCACAAACAGCCAGCTCTACTATCACGAGGTCTAAGCTACCTTTCTTCCTACCGACACATTTTCTGGTGGAATCACTTTTAATTATTTCTTCACTAATATTATTAAATTCAATATGACAATAATTTCCTAATAAAAAAATTTTATGAAAATTTCTTTTCAGTACCAATATCTGGGACCTCTTGAACAAAAATCAACTTACGTTGAAGCGGTGCAGCCGAGTTGTTTACCATAATACTTTTCGTCAAAAGCAGCAGCTACCATACAAGGTCTTCCATAACTATTCACAGGAGGTTTCAAATTCCCAAATCCTTGAAGTCGATATTGAAAGGTTCCCCATTTGGGAGTATCCTCGATGTAATGTGTCGCATAGCCAGCAATCTGATTATATTCAGTCCAGATCCATGGAAATTTATCCAACGGACTTTCCGCAATTCCAACGTACTCTTTATCCCCAGAAATTTGACTCTCCACGAGTCCACCCTTGCCTCCAAGAAGTTTGATTCCAGATCTTCGGCTTTCTGGCAGCTCCTCCTCGAAATATCCTGTCAGAACGGCAAGAAGATTGCTCGTGGTTCCATCTCCAACAACATGATACTTCCTAAAAATTGCTCCACGGGACTCTGCAAGTTTAGTGAATTTTTCAACAGTTTTTGGAAGGTATCGATACCAAGAAAGCCGCGATAACGAATCTATTCCGAGAAGTAGAACATTAACTGCAGAATTATTTGCAGAAAAAGTAGGTTCAGTGAGCGGATCACTTCCACAGAGGTAAAATCTTCTTTTAGTCAACAGAAGATCAGCATCCCACTTAGACCCATTTAACCGCGGTTGGCAAAGAAGCATACTTTGCGCATGAGAGAGAAGTTGCCCAGACTTAACGTCTGTCAAAGGATCGCCGTAGATAGATCGATATTCATCCAGTCGAAATATTGGAAACGCATCACATTTATACCCATCATGTTCTGGATATATTTTCAGGTATCCATGGTCTAACCAAGCGCGTTTTGGCAAGATTTTATCAATATCCGCTTTCTCTCGTGGTTTTTCAATCGTGAAACGCAAGCCATTGGCACTGCAATCCACTTCGCTACCTGACTGGTTTATAAACTGCGTCAAATCCGCCGGCCAAATTTCTAATGGCGGAATCAAGCAGTCTTCCTTCACTGTTAAAATAGCCTTTTGATCAGTTACTGGTGGCTTTGTCGATTTGAAATAGAAAATAAGTGGTGCTAAGAGAACAAGAATGAAGAAAGTGGCTAAAATACGTCTTTGCGTGCGAACAAGCATTCCAAATATCCGCAAGGGGTTTAAAATGTTCGCGTTTCACTGAAAAAATCGCACAAACCAATCAAACACCAGCCATGTGCTAGTAGGGGAAGTGTGAGGAAGCAACCAATAGAAATCGAGGCAGAGATTTGACTTGATGCTTGCTTACGTATGTGAATCACACTCAAAATGTGGGACGTCAAAGTGTGACGGTTAAGTAGCATTTATCTAGCCTAAATCACTTTCCATTTATGAAAAATTTCCCTCAAAGGAGACATGATTTTTTGAAAAGCAAGTGATTCCTTATTGGTGTTTGGTGATATCCATTATAATTCACCGAGTAATGGTGTCCAGGCGAAGCTGAAGAGCGAGAGAGACTGTATTTGACATTGATGTAATTGGTGGTTTATGATTGAATACTTAATATAAAGAGTGTGAACTACAGTGTTCAAATGTGCCAAATTAAACTGTATTAATTAAAAGGCAAAGTTTATATCAAATAACGAATAAGCTTCCCTAAAAGAAAGAGTGGCGTTATCAGACATATGCATAAAATTCTGACAAGTAAATGCAAGATGTCTACACCTGCTACAAATTTCACAGTCTCCGAGGGGTGATGTTTGTCATATTCCACCAATTTCACAGTACTCATCTTACCTTTTTTCTGCCTTTGTGTCTGTCTCTTTTACATCTTTGAAGCACTCTTCTGCTCCCCCCACCACCCTCTCGACTTTTTGTCACTTTGATGCTCCTTCTCCTCTGTGAAGTCTGAAGTCAACTAAAGGGCTAATGATAACCATCGAAACGCCTGCCATTTGATATAAATAAAATAAAAAAATGTCCAAATGGAGTTAAATGGCAATCTTTCAACTTAAATCAATTATTAAGGTACTTCATATTTGTCTCTTCACCCTAATGGACAAAACTACACTTGAGGAAGATAGCAATGAACGTGGGTCATCCATTGCCATTTGATTCAATTATATAGAGAGATCTGTAGCAAGTAATCCAGTAACGCTATAAACACCAAATTAAAGGAGGAAGACATCATCTCCAAACCCCATCTTTTATTGAGAATGAACTTTAATTGATGAGAACGAAAAAACACCTGGCGCTGTGAAAGTTGACTGTGTAACAATAGGAGCTCATCCAATGCTTTCCCTTATCTTAAATGAGTTAAATGTGACAAGGAACACAACCCACCCACCTCATACGCCTTGCTACACCAAAGATATTCACATATTTCACTTTAATCTAGTATTTCAACTCAAGAAAACTCACTTGAATTTCAAATAGATATACATATATTCATAAATAAGCTCTCTCGCTAACTCTATTAGCATTGAGTTTCAAAGAGCTTAAATTGTAATCATAATTACGGCGTCGTGAAAGGACAACTCGACGATCTACTGCATTATTAATTACCATTTCATCATCAGTATAAGTAACAGAAAGATTATGGCAGTAAATTTGGTTGGAGGTTTGGAAAACACTTTCAGTAAACGTCATGGCTCTCAGAATGACCAATTTGCAACTCTCGAAGATTTCGGGGATCGATTGAACCGATTTTACACGTCAACTGTCTTGCTCATTCTTGTCGGGGTTACTGTAACCAATGTCTACTTCCTCAAGTCCATTTCTTGCAACCTCTCGCATATTCCATCGTCACCAGGCTTCGTGGCATACACGGAATCTGTGTGTTGGGTTCAAGGAACCATCGGTCTTGATAAAACTGACAAGATTCCAGGAAACGAGACGGAGTGGAATCGACTTCGGGAAAATTCAGATATGTGTAAGTTTCAGTTGGGAATGTGGTGAATGTGCCTTGTCTTGTGCTCTCCTTTTCAGCATTCTACCAATGGGTGCCCTTCTGTCTCACTGTTCAAGCCATTCTCTTCTACATTCCACATCTAATTTGGCAAGCCATGTCAATCAACACCCTCGGCGACAACTTCAATCACTTGGTGGCAAGAGCCAAATCTGTTAACACGTCCAGTGACGTGGTTTCGAGGTCAAAACTTCTTCAAACATGTGCATACCAACTTAATCTCCTCACTCTACAACACACCGACCGACGCCATTCCAGCTGGGCGAAGTTTCAAAGATCGGTCAATAGACGTGTGCCATTGTTTTTTGCAAAGCGACTTGGAAATCGCACAGCTATGTACTATTTACTCACCAAAATTCTTTACATTATTAACTGTGTTGGACAAATCTACTTGATCATGTATTTCATTGCACCGAATACTGAGACTAGGAGTAGCTTGATCACCTTCTCAATGCGCTTGTTTAACACAACAAGGAGTCAGAAAGAATGGGGTGGAAGTGATCTCTTCCCCCTCCAAACTCTCTGTCCCATCAGAATTCCTGAGTTGGGAAAGCGGGATCAGCTCTATACCGCCATTTGTGCACTCCCTGTGAATATGCTCAATGTGAAGATCTACATGTTTCTCTGGGTGTGGATATTGGCGGTCTTCGTGGTTTCTGTCATCTCGACACTTATCTGGATGTCGCGACTTCTTGTTAGTCCTCTAAATAAGGCATTTTTGAGCAATTTTCTGGAAGTCTCCCTCTTCGCAGCTAATTCAATGGCCAGCGATGATGAATCCAAGGCATTGACTAAGTGCTCAGGTGAGAGGTGGAGAGAAGATGCTCAACAATTCTACGAAGAAGTGGTTGGTCTAGACGGTACCTTCTTGATACGAATGCTGAGGTTGAATGCAGGAGATGTTGTTGCTGGTGAGATCTTGGTAGCTTGGTGGCAGCTTTCGAAAAATAGTCGCCAAACTTTCCACGTGAAAGGAACACTTGTCTAATTGGTACAATTTTTACCCATTGTCTCACTCAGGGCTAAAACTGAAAGCTCTTCAAGTGTGTCAAATTATTATCTAAAATAGCATGCTACTTGTATTTTGTAGGTAGTTGTGAACCAATTTTAATGATTTACTCACGGTTTAATGAAAAATAAATCGAACTAGGGGTGCCAGTGCACATTTGTACTAGCACTTCTTCCGCATTTAAATACTCTCATAGAATACCAAATAAGTTCCTCGGTCTATGAAGTGTCTCTTTACGTTGAGGAGTTTCGTTGATTGATTTAGAGACTATCGATTAGCGTCTAAAGAGCACGTCTTTGTATTTTATGCATGCACTGACAACTTGAAAGTATCGTCTTAGCCGTCTCCTAAAGGCAGCATTTAATGGGCTTGTTTTCGATCTGATATCAATCTTCTTTTTACGGTTTCTTGTTTACTCTACTCGTAAATCTATTGGTTTAAATGACCTGGTAGACTTTTACTGTCGTCGTTTTCAATATTTACCCTCTGCCCTAATTTGGAGGTGGTCATAAAGAGAATACGATTTCACCATGAAGAGTGTGGGAGGTAGCACTTTTACTGAGTCAATCTAAAAGTGATGTGACTTCTACGCCCATTATAGCTTGTTAAACACGAAATCTGATAAAATGAGGTGTGGTATGGCTAATCCTCAATCAATAATAGCCTCAAATTCGATCACCCTATCTCGCCCACACTAATTCAGCTTGATTTTCATAGTCACAAGTTAAGTGGCAAGTCTTAGCAGGCAATATGTTAATATCGATTGTCAGGGGGTGTGCGATAGACTTTACTCCACTCGGTGCACCCCGGGCGACGTATTCTCATACGGTGAAAAAGTCTAGAAACCGGCAGTCGACTTCTGACTTCAATCTACCATGATCCCGTTCTTTGTCTTATTCGATCACTTCCACAATACTTATCCTACCTATTCTCTGCCTTTGCGTCTGTCTATGCCTTTTACATCTTTGAATCACTCTCCTGTTCCCCCTCTCCAACTCATCTCACTTTCATGAAGCCCAAAGTCAGCTTAAGGGCAAATGATCAGTATCCTAAAGCCCGCCATTTGAAATAAATTAATATTGATCGCCAGTTGGACATTAATTCTTCCATTTAATAAGACGGACTCATCCGGAGCGAAATTGACCAACTGTGTTTGATTAAATTGATAAAATTAAGAGAATCAGCCCCCACTTAACCAACTTGACTTATCACTTCATGCCACCTCCTCGAATTTGGTTTTAAAAAACAAGATAGGGGAAGCGACAAGGTCATCCATGTACGACAGAGAGGGCGGTCTGCGTCATTGCCACAAAGAAGGCGAAAATTCGACATATATTGTCGTTGGTAAAGTGATTAACGAGTTTTGAGAAGATCACAAAGTCGGTGGCCCAATAGCATTTCCCATGATTTTGACCACCCTGTTTTGAAACAAGTAGAGGACACAAGTGCGTACCTTATTTGCCAATAGTAAATTGACCATTTTTGGAATGATGGCCCCTTATTCCACTCTGACCAATTACAAATTGTGGCTGTGTCACCGTTTCCATTTCTTCAACTGTAGGCGGGCAAAATAGTATACTCCCTTTAGCCAATCCGTAGCGAACAAAGGATAAGTTATATGGAAAAAGTTGAATCAATTGTAGGGTGAATGATTAAAATGAATGAAGTGGGTCCATTAAACCGAGAATGAGGAGGTTTGACAAACAGGACACTTAGCAAGAAGCCTCGAAAGAGGACATACTTGAATAATTTTCATCATGCGGTGCGCAATAGACTTACCTCCACGTGGTGCATCCTGGGCAACGTATACTTATACGGCAAAAAAGTCTATTGATCGGCAATTTACTTCTGACTTCAAATTTCTATGTCCCGACTATTTGTCATATTCGACCCCTTCCACAGTACTCATATTAACTTTTCTTTGCCATTGCGTCTGTCTGTCTCTTTTACCTCTGTGAAACATTACTCTGTCTCCCATCTCGACCTTTTGTCACTTTCATATCACTTCTCTCCGTGAAGCCCCGAAGTCAGCTCCAGGGCTAATGATAACTATCAAAACGCCTGCCATTTGACAATAATAAATAAATAATTGGGAACCGCCTGCCATTTGACAATAATAAATAAATAAATAACTAATTTTCATCAAGCATAAAACGTGCGAGCGAACATGCTTTAGGGCCTCGTTAGGAAATTGACCATTTTGGCATTTAATTGACTGCAGTGAATAGATCTGTGGAGTGAAAGATGGGAAAATTAAAATGTCTCGTCATCTAGCCTTATCACGTGATCCACTAAGGATATTAGTCCAATTAATTAGCTTGGTGATTACACCGCTTATTCACTCTGAGCATAGCCCCCACTAACACCATTCGTGCGCCTCATTAAACATCGAAATTTGCGTGCACCAATTGGCTGATGAAGTTGAGCTCTTCTTTATGAGTGAGTATAACCTTGCCCGTAAGGCACATTCGAGCACAGGGTGTTACTCCTATTGTGCGTTGGGTAAGTTGAGGACGGTTTATCAGCTCTGCTGTGAATGACTCCTGTCCTGCTTCATATTTAAGAAATACTGCACCCTCCTTGGGCAGTAGGCAGGTAAATAGGTAGATGGGTATTTAGGTTGGAGTCTGAAGAAAGCAATTCGGTTGGTTGGTGTATTTTCTGATTGTTGTACTGGTTGGGCTATGGCTAATGCCGTTTCTGAAAGTGCTTTTTTTGTTCTTTTATTTTAGTTGACGTCTAACTGAAAGGATTTTCTCCGAAATTAAGGTAGGCCTCTGACATTGTATTACTAAAATGGATTTTCAATAGGCCATATTAGATGCGAATTTGCGAGATGTTCAACTTTGGGAGAGGCGGTTCAAGAGGATTCAGAGTGAATTCAATGGTGATATTGGAGGACTTCAGCGATAGATTAAATAGTAAGTACACTTCGGCAATCCTCCTTCTACTGAGTGCCATCACAATGGTAAAGGTCTACTTCGTGCGGCCTATTTCTTGTGACATTCAAGGGCTGCCAAAGGAAGCTGCAAACTATGTTGAGTCCGTTTGTTGGAATCAGGGAACCCTAAATTGGAGAACGATTTCTGAAGTACAGGGGTCCAATAGAAGCACCGATACTTGTAGGTTTATCCTCCTAACTGCCTTACCTTCTTATCACTGAGTTTAATGAGCTAAACGTGATGACTTTTAGCCTTCTACCAGAGGGTGCCGGTTTGGCTCATAATTCAGGCGATCCTCTTCTACTTGCCCCATTTCACTTGGCACGCACTATTGAATTGGTCGTTTGGAGAGAACCTTCGTTACCTGTTAAGTCGGGCAAAGGCGGCCGCGATGACTGAAGATGTTCTATCCAGAGCAAGAATGGTTAGAGCATGTGCCGATCAGCTCTACCTTCTCTCTCGACAGAATTTTAACACCATCACGTGTCCGTGCTCGATGCTTGAGGACTACCATGGTGCATTTCAAACTTGCAGACATGCATGCAACATGGTTGGAAGAGTGCGCAATAAGTCAGCAATCTGCTATCTTTTCGTCAAGTCCTTATATATTCTGAATGGTATCTTGCAGGTCTTTTTAGCAGCTTGCTTACTTAGTCAAGATACTTTAGTTCACAGCGTGACAATGGGCTACAATAGTCGATTCTTTCCTCATACTGGAGTGTGCACACTTCGACTTCCGAGTTTGGGAGTTCGATCGCGGCTCTACACCGTGTCTTGTGCTCTTCCAGTGAATGTCTTCTATGAGAATGTCTACTTTTTTCTCTGGCTTTGGATCATGGGTGTTCTGTTTGTCTCAATTATTACAGCTTTTACCTGGCTGTGTCGTCTACTAATGCCATACCACAGGAACAATTTCATAAGAACTCTCCTACACGTGTCTCTACTCAAGCCGCCGTCTTTTCGTGTCTCAGACGCCACAGACTTGGATATTTTGGCGGGAAGAGCATATTACGAGGCTGCAATTCTCGATGGAGCTTTGGTGGAAAGATTCCTCACGGACGTGGTCGGTTGTGATGGGAGCTTCATAATAAGAGTGGTGAGACTCAATGCCGGAGACATAGTGACAGGGGAAATTCTGGTCACCTGGTATAGAATGTTCATGGGTGTTGGAAGAATTGGTGGTGATGGTGAGGCAATTTATTTGAATCCTGTAAACCTCCAACTAAGTGCAGTGAATAACGTGTACGTACAACGTGATTAAGCGAAAGATTTCTTGAATGAACGATGAGATATATTTTCTTATCGAATTGTTATTTTTTATCCAGAATTAATAAACCGTCATTGTCAAAACAAATTCGTTGCAATTTCTGCGACACTTACGAGCGATAAGTTACTGTGGTAATCATGTGAGGAACCAATCAGTTGGTGTGGGATTTATTTATTTACTTCAAATGGCAGGCGATTTGATAGTTATCATTAGCCCTAACTTGGCTTCCAACTTCACAGGGGGGAGAAGGTACATGAAGGTGAGAAAAATTCAAGTTGTGTTGGGGGGGGGGGGGGGGGGGGTTGGACCGAATAGTGATTTGCTGATGTGAAAGAGACAGACACCATGATAGATTGTGGGGTAAGGTGAGTACTGTAGAAGTGGACGGCTATGACACACAGTGGGGTCAAGGTAGTTTGAAGTGAGAAGTCAACTGCCGGTTAATAGACGTTATCGCTGTATGCGTATACGTTGCCCAGGGTGCACCACATGGAGAGGTAAGTCTTTCGCACACAACAGTTGGGGTGGAATAAATGCGTGTTTGTGTGTTAAGCATAATTTGTTGATTTATGAATTGTTCGATTTGACACCTGTGGTTTAGTCGATCAAGATTAGTGATTGGAATAAAAATTTCAACTTATCCTTCTGCTTATGGTCTGTTTACTTTGGGTATATTCCCACTTTGACGGGAAGAATGTTTAGATGATGTCGGCTCGTAAATCGGGGTGATTTCGATCGTGGATGGACTAGTCGCATGAGATAGATGTACGTGAGTTTGTTGCTCAAGCATATTGATATGAGGCTAGATAACTGAGGGTATTAGAGTTGAAACTCGAAGGTTTGTGGGGTTGAATTGTTTCAAAGGAGCATTTTATATTGATTTAGGCAGCGATTGTGTATTATTAAATAAGTTACTGAAATTAGAGTGGAATAAATTTGAGAATGCATGTCAATTATACCAAAACTTGCATTTCTTCTAGCTGAAAGCCTAAGCATGAAGGAGTATATACAACACTAAATTAGTCATTTGGTGAATGAAAAAGGAATCAATTGGAAGGAGATTGAGCTGAGGTATCATGCTCCACTCTGTTGACTCCATTCAAGTCACACCACTTGGTTAAGTTAATCCTGATTGATTCTGGAGTTAGTGGAACAAGACGAAATGAGGTGAGTTGACGTGATCAACAGTTGAGATTCAGGGAGGAGGAAATTCATTCAACTCTCTCGTGAGTCAACCAGGGAGGTTTGAGGCAAAAAGGCTTATTTATAATTGTTGAGGAAAGAGGAGGTTACATTTTAGCACTAAAAGAACATGTTTATTGAATTTTGAGTTTGGAAAAGATTGTGTTGATTTGATGAAGTGAATTAAGAGGCGAATATTCACAAAACAACCTCTGTAGCTAGTAATTCCTTTTCGGCTTTCAAATCTAAGGTGCTTTTCTAATGGACAATAGTTAATTGTGATAGTTCAATGAAGTAGCCTATTCATTCGAGAAATTCGACTGAGAGGTGAATTGAACAAGTAAAAATATGAAATATAATAGAGGAGAAAGCAGAATTTTGACCAATGGTAGTCAGCCTCTGTGTACGTGAGTATAATTGCAACGAGCATAAATAATAATCACCATTGTGGTCAAAGAACGCCCGATAAAAATGACGCTAGTTTCTCATTTTTGAATATTCCACCAATTATTTCGTGTATTGTGGATGAGATGAATTATTTCTATAACAAATTGAACTTAGTTTGGAATGGTTGACGCCAGGATTAGCTAAGGCACTGCAAAGCTATTGTGAAGTAGATGTACTGTGGGGAACAGGCTTATTTGGTCAATATGTCGTTAAAATCCAATGAAGGTTTTATTAAACCATGTAGGGACTATTTATTTATATCAAATGGCAGGCGTTTTGATAGTTATCATTGACCCTTAAGTTGACTTCAGGCTCCGCAGAGGGGAAGGATCATCAAAGTGATAGAAGTCGAGAGGGGGGGAGGGAAGCGAAGAGTGTTTCAAAGATGTAAAAGAGACAGACACAAAGGTAGAAAAAAAGGTTAAGATGAGTACTGCGGAAGTAGTCGAATATGACATGGTAGTTAGAAGTGAGAAGTCAACTGCCGGTTAGTAGACTTTTTTGCCGTATAAGCATACGTTGCCCATGGTACACCACGTGGAGGTAAGTCTATCACACACCCAATATAGGGACTATTGATTGGCTGTTGACTGAGAAGTCTCGGAGCTCATGACCACATTTGTTCTCGCTGCAAGAAGAAGCACACGCACCTCTGAGTCTGTCTGATTATGCAGCACATTTTTTCTTCACCCCAGACAGCTTTTGAACACACCACAGATTTAAACTACCGACTCTCCTGACTCTCAATGCGTCTTCNTTGACATACAGTGGGGTCATGGTAGTTTGGATTCAGAAGTCAGCAGTCAGTTAATAGACTTTTTTGCCTTATGAGTANGAAGTAGATGTACTGTGGGGAACAGGCTTATTTGGTCAATATGTCGTTAAAATCCAATGAAGGTTTTATTAAACCATGTAGGGACTATTTATTTATATCAAATGGCAGGCGTTTTGATAGTTATCATTGACCCTTAAGTTGACTTCAGGCTCCGCAGAGGGGAAGGATCATCAAAGTGATAGAAGTCGAGAGGGGGGGAGGGAAGCGAAGAGTGTTTCAAAGATGTAAAAGAGACAGACACAAAGGTAGAAAAAAAGGTTAAGATGAGTACTGCGGAAGTAGTCGAATATGACATGGTAGTTAGAAGTGAGAAGTCAACTGCCGGTTAGTAGACTTTTTTGCCGTATAAGCATACGTTGCCCATGGTACACCACGTGGAGGTAAGTCTATCACACACCCAATATAGGGACTATTGATTGGCTGTTGACTGAGAAGTCTCGGAGCTCATGACCACATTTGTTCTCGCTGCAAGAAGAAGCACACGCACCTCTGAGTCTGTCTGATTATGCAGCACATTTTTTCTTCACCCCAGACAGCTTTTGAACACACCACAGATTTAAACTACCGACTCTCCTGACTCTCAATGCGTCTTCAATCTGGATGGACAATAACCATCCTTTGGAGAGAACGTTTTCATTATTACCTTTCAAGGAAGCGTTCTTTGGTATAAAGCCCCCACAAACTTGTCAATTTTGCGAGGGTATTGATTCTATTCCTCTCTACTTCACTATGACTCACATGATCTATCTGACAAGATCCCTGACCATGTGATCGTGAAAAGTAGTCATGAGATCTAAGATGAACCCACCGAACAGAAGCGGATCGAAAAGATGCTGAAAGTGGAGTTAAGGCATCAAAAGAGTTCAACATTGTTTGGGTTGGGGTCCATGCTATACACAGCTTTAACTTTCTGTCTTATTTATTGATTAAACTTTTTCGTCTTTGCTGCCTGGATCGCTGATCAAATTCTCACCTCCTTTGAGATACTTCAGATATTCATTTATTTCTCTTCTTTCACAAGCAGCAAAAACACAATGATTCAGTCTAGTAATTTTTAAGATATTCCTATATTCTATATTTTGAAATGGGGGGTGTGTGATAGACTTACCTCCACGTGGTGCGCCCTGGGCAACGTATACTCATACGGCAAAAAAGTGTATTAACTGGCAGTTGACTTCTCACTTCTAACTACCATCACCCCACTGTATGCCATATTCGAATACTTTCACAGTACTCATCCCACCTTTTTCCACCTTATCTACCTTCGTCTTTGATACACTCTTCTGTTCCCCCCCCCCCC